GCCGCGCGACCCTCGCAGAGGATGCTGTGGGGAGGAGGCGCGCTGCGTGTTTGTTTACAGGTGGTGCGTTTGCCTTTCAGCGCCCCCCCCCCGACTCGGGATCCTGCTGCTTCCTGCTGCCGAATGGCGAGCCATCTGGGGGGGACAGGAGGATGTTAGTAATAATAATAATATCAGAAGAAAGATGGGGGATGAGGGGACGACGACGACGCAAGGATTCCCTTTTTCCGAAGCAAAAGACTTATTCCTTCCCCCCTCTCAAGGACATCACAAGGGCCTGGTCGTCCTGCCGTGGGCAGGGAGGAAGAGGGGGGGAGGACAGCCTATTCTCCGGGCCAGGCTACGCCGCTACGCCTATGAGCCGGGCTCAGGTACGGCGGGATATAGAGTGCCCAGCTGTCTCAGACATACACTCCGGCGCGCGTCTTTGTGAGCCACACGGCAGCAATATCACCGTCCCGCAAAACTCGACCCGACACAGTCAGTCCGCGATGTAACTGGACTTTGATGCGAAAATAATAAAGTCAGCCTCTTGTCTCCGCGACAGGCCCTCCCTCCAGCGAGACCCCGAAAGCCGGAGACACACACAAATTTTTTCCTACCCCTCCACATATTTGCGACCACCATAATAATTTTTCACGACACTTTCACGACAGACGACAGCCTGCTCGTCATCTCGCTCATACCTCGTCCAACATTTTTTTGCTTTTTGCGTTGTCTCTTTCGACCAGGCCAAAAATTTTAGGATTCATGTTTTTGGACGAGTCGCGCGAGCCCACTTCATAGCTCTCACTCTCACACAGAGGTGTGCGCGCGCGCGTGTGTGTGTGACTGTGTGCCAGTGGCCCTGCTTACATGCACTCACACACACACATGCACTGCAGGTACCGGCCGAGTCAGGCGCAGCTCGCCACGGCCTGGCCGCTGGTTCATCGCCTCCGCCTCGGCAGCTCGACTCGGCTCGGCCTCCGGGCGGCTCGGAAACGCACCGCACACACACACACATGTTTCCTCTGCACCAGCAGCAAGCGTTTGTCCGACAGTTGAGGGAATTCCAGGAGGCAACACAATTATTCAATTATCGTCATAACTTTGCCGACTCCTGTGTAGGTGTGTGAGTGCGTGTGTGTGTGTGCCGTTGATAATTAAAAGGTGGACTGCCTCGTCGTCCCTGCCAGCCTGGTGCCTCCCAGATTGGGGTCCATCCAGCACCAGGAGCAGGTCGGTGCCCACTGGGAGAGCAAAAAAAAAAAAAAAAGAAAAAAAAAGATTCACAAAATGATACTGCTATGTACATCTCCGGCAGCCGAAGAGGAGGAAAAAATCAGCCCCTCGGCAGAGAAAGTGCACGCGTAGTGTGCAGAAAGTACGGCGACGCAATTCACCTCGTTACCGAGTTATTACTGCCACCTGTAAAAACAGGCACACGCGCTAGCACACATCACATCATCAGAAAGTTTTCTTTGAGCGTGGCGCACTGTGTCAATCACACACTAGTATTAAACGCCCCCTACGGGAACGGCCGCTAGGCTGCGCTCCATAATAAGCAAACACACACACACACACACACACACACATATTCAGTCGGAAGACTTTCTCAGGTGCACATACACATTATTTAGATATTCGCAGGGCAGTACTACATACAAACACACATGTCGATGAGGATACCCACCCGGCCTCACACGAGTTGCACACTCTGTTCCTCCTTCCTTTCTCTCAACTCCCCCCCCCCCTTTCCTTTTGCTCTCCCCCCTCGTCCCTTTTGCTCTCCCTCTCTCTCCTTGCCAGCGGCACCGCTCGGTCACCGGACCCGCAGCAGCAGCACACGGGAGTGACTCACCCCGATCCCCCCTCCGGCCTCTTCCTCCCGTCCCCCGCACATAGGTCCCGGTCCTGGAGCCATCGGCGCGCCAAAACAAGTTTCAGGTCGCTCATCACTTTAAAGATGGCCGCCGCCGCGACTCTCTCGCTCTCTCTCTTTCTCTCTCCCTACCAATATGGTGCCTATGTCAATCTTTGGCGAATAATCGGAAATAACTATATAAACGCCATACATTCACACCTTACACATACCCTTTTCCATACTTCCTTGCGTTCTGTGGTCTGGGGTGACGTTTTTGACGCGACCGTCACACATTTCTTTACTACGTTACTCCTGTCACGCTCTCGCGCAGGCACCAGCGTCACTCTTATTTATAGAGCAGGCCGTCGTCGGCGGCGATACGCGGTCACACCTGACGGCGACAAAACAGTGGCACTCCGACACGGAGTTCTTCTCCTGCTCCGCGATGCCGACCCGTCCTTTCCTCCTCCACGGCTCCGCGGCGCTCCGGCTCGTTTCGTTTCTTTCCCATGCTCGCCGCAGTCGGCTCGGCTCGGCCACGAACCTGTTCTGTGTTGGCCTCAGAGCCGAGTCGCGGGCCGGCTGGGGTCGGCCGGAGAGCCAGCCGGGAGTAGTGCTGTGAAGGAGCCAGAGCGGGTCCACTATAACACGTGGTGCTTTACTCGCGGGGCTGAGGATACTTTTATCACGAACGAGTTGCCAGCACGTACAGTCGCGCGAGCGCATGCAAAGAAAATAGACCCCACACGTGGCACGTTCCCTGGACGGCTGCCGTCGTCCGCCGCCAGCCCACGCCCACCTGCCCCCTGGGTCAGCAGACAGGCTTCTGCGGAAACAATGCAAAACGCCAAGTCGCGTCAACCCCGCACGGCCTCGTTTCGCGGAAAGCCTCGAGTGTGAGGCAGGCAACGCCCGCACTTTAGCAAGCCGCGCGAAATTTGCAAATGCAATTTCTTTTTCTTTTCTTTTTCCCCTGGTGCGCATATCTGCGCCGTCGCGGCGCGCCGGTTACGGCGGTTCTCGTCGGTTCTCGCGGCCGCCACTATCAGCAGGTGTTTGCACCTCGCCGCTCGGCTTTTAGGCTGCCTCGGCTATTATTGCAAGGGCCAGAGTCACGACGCGCAGCCGCAGCGCTAACTAGACAAGGGGTTGCTGCTGCTGTTGTTGTTGTTGCCAACATTGTCGTAAATGACACCAATTTTTGTCCGTAGACCGACTGGGGAATCAGCAGCGGTGGCTTTCGAAGGGCTTTTAATAAACCCTTTGGGTCCAGCAGGACCTCACTTACACCCAACCAAGCCATTCACAACTGCAGGTGCACGACGGGTGCACCCAGGGCCGATACAATAGAAAGTACCCTTCAGCTGACATCCTCAGGACCTCCTCCCCCCACACTGCCCGCTCGTCTATACCTGGCCCTTGGCTGGTCTCACATCTGCGATCGAAAAGGTCCCATCCCTGGCCGACCGTAAAATTTGTGCAAAATGAAGGGGGGACGACGATGATACGTATTGAGACGACGGCGACGTCCTGCAGAAGGAGTCGTCCCCTCGCTCCGCCCATCCGGGACGTGCATCCCCAGACCGTTACGAAAACACTGAGCCAAGAACATAATGACGCCAGAAACAACATACCCGAGGATCACTTCTTGTATAGGCCGGCGGATTGGGGAGGATTCTATCGACTCATCGCCAGCCGGGCTGCTACACCGTCAAAGATAAATAATAACAAAAGTAATAATAGAGCAAAGGAATAGTTAAGGACCCTTGGAATATCGCGCGGACCCGATCGCCAGTCACGGACGGGGCGTAACCCGAATCGACCATGGACACATCAAAGTAGAGCGAATGTGACGGCCACTTTTGAAAGAATGCAGTGTTTTTCAATGCGTCAAAGTGAGGTTAGATGAATGACAATTAAACATCAATGAAGAAAAAGGAGTCTTGGACGTCATTTAGACTTTCTTCCAGCTGGGGGGCTGGGCTGTAAGATGAGACTCAGCAGACGACGCTGCGCGCGAGCTCAGGTCGCACCGTCAGTGCACAAATAGCCCCTGGAGCCACTGGAGCGGCCTGGAATTCCAGGCGAGGACGCGCGCGGAGCTCATTTGCAGGATCTGTGTCACACGGACTGTGACACCTCGTGCGGAAGCGCGCAGCAGCAGACGCCCCTAATGCGCCGGCATAGAAATCTTTCACCGGGCGCCTTAGCCAGCGAGACGACCTTCTTCGTCTGCGCGGCGCGGTGCAGCGAGCGGCAAGGATTGAGCTACTTTTGGTCCACACGTCCTGCAGGCCGGCCCCATCCTACATCAAGGCATGTCTTACACGAGGACAATGGATTTGGACATGTAGCATTCCGGGGCTGGGCGAGAGGCGGGCGAGCACGAGTCAGGACCGGCCGGCCCGGGACGAGGGGGACATGAACGGGGAAACAAAAGACTTCTCCAGCGCTGCTGCTGCTGCTGCCGGCTGGAGCCGAGCCGAGCCGCTCGAGCCGAGCCGGAGCAGCTATAAGGTCCCAGGCTGGCCAGGCCGGCTCGAGTCGACGACGCCATCTCCGTTCTCGGAACAAGGTATTGTGCGCTATGCTGGCTGGTCGGTACGGGCGGAGCCCGCCTCCTGGCAGCCCGTCCCGTGTGCACCGCGGCGCCAGTCTCGCAGAACACATCTTTTTGGGACGAAATGTCGTCGTTGTCGCCCGTTCAGGACCTTGCTGGACGATTGCGTCGCCCAACCGTTCCGCGAAACCCTAGAGGGGCGCACGTTCCAGGACATTTTGCAAAACGTGCAGAAGTGACAAAGGGACCTGCTTGCGCCGCATTGTGCAAACAAGGGGTGACGGTGAGTCGTACAGGTACGGCACGCACGAGGACATTGCGGACGTGCACCCCCTCGCACCCCGTGTCACGGAACCGCACGCGTGACAGTGTCACGGAACCACACGCATGACAGTGTCACGGAACCACACGCGTGACAGTGTCCCCAGGTGACTGCAGGGTGAGTCTCCAGGATGACTTTGTCCACCGCTGCTCCGCTCGCGGCGCGGCACCACTTCCACTCGTGAGCAGCAGCAGGAAGACACGAACACAAAGGAGTATCACGAGCACCGCCGCCTGCCCTATCCACGCTAGGCAGGAGCGGAGGTTACTTACATTGGATTTGTTGTATTCCAATGGACGGTGAAGGTCTTGGTGCAGCTCACTGTCGAGAGGAGGACAGTCTCGAAACAAATTAGTAACACTAGCGTGAGGCAGGAGGTGACCCTGGTGCAGGGCAGGGGCAGCCTGCACCTCAGCACGCCTCTTCGTGGCGCCCCGCCGCCACCGCTGCTGCTGCACGCCGAGCTGGCCGTGCCGCACACCCTCCAGCCCGCGGCCATGTCGAGCACCATGGCCCGGCCGCGCTGGCGCAGCTTGCACAAAGCGTCGTCACACGGGGCTGCCGTGCACACACATCTTGAAGCGTGAGCACCGCCACAACACAGCACAAACTTATCAAATGACTTTTTGTTGTAATTACAAATAATAAAAATCACACTGCACTGAAGAACAAGGTATTGGGGGTACTCCGTGGGACGACGAGATGGGTTAATCACTTTGGTGTGGTGGACATTACATCCTTCACAGAGACACACACACGCGCGCGTACACACACAGACACGAACAACTCGCACACACACGCGTATCCAGGAGGGCGGAGGGTCCCAGTTGACAAGACGACGTCGCGCGGACCGCGGCGAGCTCGCGCGGCGCTGACACGGACGAGCGACGCAACCTCCCCGTCGGAGAGCTACCACTGTAGTGAGGAGGGGGGGCTCCGCGCCGCGCCGCCGGGCCGCCGGGCCGCCGAGCAGGCCGCGCAACGACCCGAGCGCACCCGAAGCGCGCACGAAGCGGTGCCGAAGACGTCGCCGGGCACGTCGGCCGCGCGCCTGGAGGAGAGAGACGGGGGTTGCGGGGCGGGGGAGGAGGGGGCGCACCAGGATGGCGGCGGCCGGCGCAGCGGCGGCCATGGCCGTAGAGTGCACAGAGCATGCCAGCCAAGTGAATCAGAGAGGGGCCACTTCAAGTTCGGAGCCGACTCGCGGCAGGTGGTGCACCGGCACTGCTGGCGCCAGGGCCTCGGCCAGGGCGTGCTGCTCCAGCACCTCGCGGGCCAAGTCAGCCAGCCACGCGTACGGGGCCCCGAGTCGCCCAACGGCACCCAGGGCCGCGGGCGCCGCGCGGGGCCCGGCGCGTGAGGTCACCAGTCTGTCATTAGCAGGTGTATAGCGGTCAGGCTAATGACACATAAAACGTGTGTGGAAATCGAGAAGCGAACGCGAACGTCAACTGCTGCAGCGGGTAGTGGTCAGAGAGAACTCAACTGCGGCAGCGGCGGTGTCCGAGCGGTAGTGGCGGCGACTGGCGACTCGCTCCGCTCGACATGTCCGTGAGCAGCGTTTCAAAGCAGAAAACAGCCTCGATTTAAAATGAACGCAATACCACACACACACCATCAGCACACAACCGACACACAACCAGCACACAACACACGCCTAGGAAAGGGCCGTGGGCCGTACTGATTCGCCGAATCAAATGTACGCAGACACACTGCATTGCATTATTCCCTCTGCCCGGTGCATGCGCGGGCGGTCAAACAGATGAACGGATAGATGGCTGAATAGAATTCTTCCGTCTGTTTGAAACAATCCTAGGTGGTCGTTTGGTTCCGCCGCGGTGAGCGCGCCGCCGCCGCGTTGGCCCGGCCAGGCCCCGGCCGGCGGGCGCGGGTGGGCAGACGGAGCGCGCCCCTGAACGACAAAACGGAATTAGCGTATAAAGTGCTGTAGCGCCTTGCCTTGTCCTTCCGGTGGAGCTCGGCGCGGTGGCGGGGCGGGGCGGCGGGGCGGTCAACCTGCGTGTCCTGCTTCGCGGCGATAAGGGCAGTTAAATCGAAATAATCATGAAATATTACTTCAAGTTTTTTACATATGCCACCCAAGATACGCGCTCGACCTCATCATGTAGAATAATGTATACAACACGACAACACGACCTGTGCTGACCCTCCATCGATGTCTCGCTTACTTCTATTTGTACAACACACTTTTAACGATGGTGAATTCTAGAGGGGCCATCTTCTGCTTTTTCAAATTTTTATCGACTTTTTGAAGGTGACACCCCCGCAGCACTGGGAGGATCTATTGTTTCGGCCAGAGGCAGGTGTTGTGCGAGCCGACCGATGTCGTGTAGTGTGGCCGCATAAATATTGATCGGACTCGGATTCATGAAGACCATTCTGCCGCCGCGAGCAGACGACGGCGAGGGCTCGGGGGCGGGCGGTGGTCGACGCGCAGGTGCCGGTGGAGTGCGTCCCGCCCGGCTCGTCCGTCCCGCCCGCCCCC